ATAAATGAAAGAATGACACAGACCCAATCAATCAATTAACTAGTGGCATCTCCATCCATCTTCTCCTGCTTATCCAATTCAGGTTTCACCAGTCTATTCCAGGGATACCAGAGAGAGACATACAACAATTCACACTCATATTATCACCTATGGGAAATTTAATCAGCTGCAAACCTAACCCCACAGAAATGGTGTGGAGTCATGCTCTTATTTTTGAAAGTTCAGTCACTGCTGACCACCAGCTCCAACCCTTCCCTCCCCAGGTTTCCCTACCATCTGACTAGATTAATTCTGTGGAGATCCTCTAAACCATTCAGCTGTCTCTCCAGTGTGCTTCCCGTCCTGTGGACATAATCCAACTCCAGTGTCTCACTGAGGCTGCAGAGCTGAACAAGGACCAGGTAACTAGTACCTAAGACGTTCAGCCTGACTGCAAAAATAAGAAGCAGCTGGTTCTCCGCTAACCATCTGTGGCTCTCTGGCTAGGTTGGTAATGCAGTGATCCAAAATGCAGCAGTCTCACTAGTTACTCACACCACAGTCAGACAGACAGACTCTAAATCCACTGGGTGTGACTGAAGTTGGTAATAGTAGTACTTCTCCTTCTCTGGAGATGCACTGCATAGGTAAGTGTAACTAGAACCTGCAGCAACTGGAGAACTGGTTTGTGTAACCAAAGATTGATCCTACAGAGCAAAGAAATGACCTACAACCTGCAGTCTAAGACCATCAATGAGAACTTTTTAAAGTGATGCACGCGTATTCCTCTAAGATTAGGAGCAATATGTTTGCATACCTTTTCTTGCAGACCTGGATAGGATGCAAACACATTTTCCAGGATGTCATGTTGCGGCCAAAGATAACTGAATGAGAGCCATTTGAATAATGCTTCTTAATAGAGGTATTCATGAGTTAAAAAGTCTGGCATTTAGCGTCTGCTCTTCTCTTTCCTTTAGTGTGTGGCATCATCATGCTAAGAGCTAAAGAGCTCTGTAAGGCCTTCAGAAAAAAGGTTGAGAGTATCCAAGAGCTTGCCAAGGGATTTAAATAGATTTCCAAATATATCTACAAGTGGTGTAAAACTCAGATTGGTCCATGATGACCCCCCGTCCTCAGGAGAAAAAAAAAGACAAAATCAGCCTTGGAGCACGCCATTTGCTACAAATGCAAAAGTGTTAATCTCAAAATACTAAAAAATAAAAATACTTGATTTATCAAATCATGTGTTTAAAAAAATAAATGAAAGAACAGTGAGGTGAAGGTCATGATTAACCAAATAACATTTTTTTTTTTTTTTTACATGACGCATTTTAACATTTGGAAAAACCACAAAGACAAAGCCCAGGCATTTAAGTGAGTTACGTTTCAGACATTTAAAAAAAAAGGATGAAAACATAACTTTTATATAAGAAATGGAACACAAAAAGGAACGACTAAAACAGAGGAGGAAAAGAAATTTCAGCCACGTAAGAATCAATTAAAAACAATGCTTGAGTAATTATTGAGCTATTCCTCACAGGAACCATCCCTGAAGGTGAAACTGAGCACCATGGTGGTTCTCCACAGGGGTGGATTGTTGCACAGGAAGCAGATTGGCGTCTGGTGATTGGTGAACAGCTTCAGTCATGCTCACAGAGCTGAAGAAAATTAAATAAAAGGTACCAAAAAACCCAGAGCATGAAAAGATTTGTGTGCACTGAGATGGCTTGTCTGAATCTTGTTGGCCTTTTCCAAACACGAACAAGTTGCTGGCACTTTTGTGAAAGATCACTGCACTAACTGCACTCACCAGCTGCTTAATCCTGGAGTAAGGCAAACTCAGGTGGTATTATTTCTAACAATCAGTGTGCCTTTAATAATCATGCTTTGTTCATTGTTCTTTCAGCGAGCTTCCATCTTCCAAGCACGACAGCTTACAGGATGAAATTTTCCAATGGAAAAAAGGTGCAACGTTTCTTGACTTTTCTTCTCATAAGTAATTATTATCTTTTTGCAAAATTGCAAAAGGCACAAAACACATTGCAAACATCGGTATTAACACCAAGTCCCCATTTCCCGCGGTTAGAAAGAAGAAAATGCAAAACTCACTTCACACCTGACAAAATATCAGCTTGAACTGAAATTGATCAAAATGTCATGTGTGTTTAAATTACAATTATTTAAAATAGTAGCAATAATGTAAAAGAACACTACACAATAGAAAAATGCAACTTGTTCTTTTCCATATCTGACTGCACTTTCTTTCATGGCACTTTGATCACAGAACCCGTCAAACACTTAGCCGCTCTAATACTGAGAACATGGTGGGTAAACTGGCCCAAAGCACGTCTAATTTATCAACTTTATCTGGTCGCCACTGTTTTTGAACAATTATGCTAATTGGACTGAGAGTGTGTTTTGTAAATGTATTCGTAATTTACCTTCTCCCGGAGGGGAATATGCATGCACAAGGTCAGGGTACCATCTAAAAATACATACACATTGCAACATATAAGATCACTGATTAATTCTACGCATGGAAACCTAGGGTAAACCGTGCCCCAGGCATTAATGTGCTTTGGAAAGGAGATACAAAGACAGCACCGGTTGGTAACTGTAAATAAAGCGTGAACCAAAGCCAGCTTTTCAGGAGAACAAACGGAAATCAACTTCTGGTTTGCGGCTGCTTCACTGCCTCGGGGACTGGGCAGCTTTGACCTATAAATAACAAAAATTTCTACTAAAGGCGACTCTGATGTGGATCTTTAAACAGTATGCAAATAGTTTTCACCAGGAACAACACCAAAAGAAGATAAGGGTGTTTATGAGATAGACTGGAATCTTACTAAAAATGCGGCTGAAGGAATTTTACAGGACGAGCAGTCAAATCTTCAGCAGTTTCACCAAATTTCTCCATATTAAAGGAAAGTTGAATCATACAGCTCCAGCACAACTTTTTTCCAGAAGGATTTTGCCTGAGATCTTGTCATATGACCTAAAAAGAACCACTGAATCAAGACATCCCAAAAATACTGATGAAGAGAATGAAGGAATGGTCCAAATTACCATCTCATTGTTGTGCAAGTCTCATAAAGAGGTTCTCTGAGTTGAGTTCCGCAATTTCAGTTTAGTGTGATGAAAATAATCAGTAATTCCATATACATATGTATGAAAACTGGTTTATCCACCATGCTCTCAGCCACTGGTTTGTGAGGACACTTTATAAGCCTAAAGCTTTTGTGCTCATCGTGTTGTTTTGGAATCAAATATGATGAAAGACAAGACAGCCAATGAGAATATCATAGATACTCTTATTTTCTGACTAATTTTCAGCAGAAATTACTCGAGCCCAACCAATATAGGACTTTTAGACCTATAACGATATTTGGTGATTTAAAAATCTAATTTTCTGATATTTCAGCATTTTCTTAACATTTTTTATGTGCAGTTAATTATTTATGTGCTTACGCTCCACCTGACTCCACTCTGACCAACTAGTTGTTGCGTTTGTGGCTACTACACAATGTCAACACTTCATGGCTGAAGGGTGTTTCTCCCATCTCTTCTTTACCTTTACATTTTGCATTTACCAACTCTTCTAAAAGCTGATACAGATAAATATTCAAACATCTAATATAATATCAGCCTGTGGATCTAAAATTTACTAAAGGAACACAGTGTAAGTATTTTGGAAATCAAAGAATTTGCCTCCTGCTGGCCAGGAGAAAGAATGCAGGTTCACTTTTCAGACCCAGTAGCTATGCAGATCATTTATGGTATTTATGAGTTTATTTATCACTATTCATGTTTCTATTTCACGTATCATCCCTATGTTTTTTTCCTTTGTGCTAGAAAGTCGTAGGCTGTTCGTCAGGACAGGCATGCACACGTTTGGTTACTGGAAACGTTTACACGGTGCGAGTGTGATTTAAGGCGTCTGTCTGATCAACTGCCGGTCTCTCCACTCTAGACTCACTTCTTATCCAATGAATTCTGGGATAGACTGTAGCAGAACTCAGAACAGCAGTTAAGAAAATGGGAGTATCACTTTCCTTGAGGAATGTTCTTTTTTCAAAAGGATATCAGGGTATTGTTAATTGTGAACCAAGTGAGGAAAGTGCTGGGTTTCATAGCGCCGTTTCAAACCCTGCATCCTCCACAGCTGGCGGCCCTTGAGAATTCTTAAAAAAAAAAAAATCTACTTTTCAGCAAGTCATCAAAATGTGCTGACTAAAAGAACAACCACTTTTCTGTTTTTTTGATGTAATAGTATAACTGGTGTTTCCTTTGTTTCCTGAATTGGTGATGTGCCTCTCATTCCTCAACCTGACCGCTCACCATTGATCATTTATTATACCCGCTGCCTGCTGGAGCCATCGATTGAGAGGGAGGAAATAAAATAAGACTTGTGGAAGTGAGGTATGGTCCTCAGTGAGCGTGAGAGCAAAGGTGCCTGATGAAATTTCACACTCGGTTCTTATTCTCTGCTCATAGTTGACGAGCCTGTAGATGTTCAGCGTTAAAGGTACAGAGCGTGACACATGACAATTCATAAGGTTTGCATGTGACAGCCTGTGAATATAAACACATGAGTGCTTGTGCTTTTTTGTGTGTGTGAATGACTAATTCTCAAACTCCAGTGAACTAGAACCCTCTTTAGTTTTTACTGTCAAGCAGCAGTGGTATGGTGCTGGGATGATTGGCCCAGAATCTAATCACTCTAATGTCTGTGGCAGCCCTAAATCACACTCTGTGGCAGGAGTGTGACGCCTGTTCTGTCCTTCAGAAGGGAAGCCTTTCATGACTCCTTCCATATTGTAATTATTCCAACTGGATATGAGCTACTGCACTTATTGGCTGGGGTAAGGCACCGGCTGCCTCTGCTTTCATTGGCTGGCTGGACACCTCTCTGCCACCTGCCATTGGCTGCCTGGAGGAGAGTGGGAGGGGAGCTCACCCCATCCTCCCCCTGTGGCAGAGCTTGTAAATGTAAAGACTCTTTCTCTGTCTATTATCTGAGTGACTCGGGCTTTTGGAGTCTGCCTCCGAGCGCGTGTGTGTTTGTGTGTGTGTGTGTATGTTGGAAGGAGAAAAGAGATAAAGAGAGAGAGAGAAAGGGAGGGAGAGGCAAGCGGCGTTTATTCTCCCCCCTTTAGCCTCCCCGTCTCCCTGCTCCCTGTCACTCCATCCTTCCTCCCCTCTCCTGGACCACCCTCCAGCCCCGCTTCGAGCCGGACCGAGACCCCCTACCACCCAGACCACCCCGGGACCCTTTGACTCTCCTCACTTCTCCGTCCCACCAGCCACAACCTCTGAGCAGGTAAGAGTCTGCTTTTCTCAGTCTGCACTGAGCTGGAAAAAGTACTTGCTGCTCTCTCCTCTTCTTTTTCTTCTTCACTCACCTAAAGCACCTCTAAAACTGCCGCTCTTTTCTGTTCTCTTCTCACCTGTTTCTGTCTTCTTTGCCTTATCTATACGCATATTACAAGTTTTCCCTGCAGCACTTCTTTCCCCTTAGAAAAGTGACACGGAGATGCTATCAGTGAGGTCACCATATTTTTGTTCTTGCACTGATATTCTGCTTTGATATCAACTTCCTCCTCCTTCTCTACCCTGCAATCGCTGCATCTCCTCCCCTTTTGTCTTTTGCAATCTCATACCCTCCAGCTTTAACCACGTGCAAATTCACTGAGAAGTCTTTTCTATTTTTCTTTTATTTTGAAGTCTGCCCCGGAGCACAAATTGACAAGGACAGCATGCTGTATTTTGGTAGCGGAAAAGGCATCTCTAATTGATTTCTGAAAAGTGTTTATGTTAGTTGGTGATGGCTATTTATAGCTGCTGACGTGCAAGGCACACATGCTTTCGCTAGGCCACTTCCTAGCAGAACACGGGTCCGTCCGCTGGCTCCAGAACACATGACATTGCACAAAGTGTAATGACTTTACAAGGCAGCGACTTGCTTGATTGAATCAAGTAATCTTTCTACCCAGAGAAGTCCAATATTAACATGGCCCATAAAGCATTCCTGGCAACAGCAGAGGAGGAGAAAAAACTGCTTAGTTCTTGAGCCGCACATCCTGTACTTCACCAGGAAGGGGAAGTGGAGTGTGTATATGTCTGTGTGTGTGTGTATTTGTGACTGAGACAGAGATACAGCTAAAGTGCTTTAGACATCAATACTGCCAGCCAAGAGATTTTAAAGCCACTCAATCATTTCTGAAAATTGGACCTTACAACAACATCAGCTGCTGCTTCCCATGTGGGGTTTTGAGGGTGGTTTTTGAGGCGCAGGTAGAATGCATAATACTAATTTAACTTGTGTTTTCACTCCACCGAAAAACCTCCTCTTATATGCAGAGTTACAGGTGTGAAGAGCTGAAACGATTTTTATTATCAATCTCTCTGCTAAATGCAACACTGCAATTAAAAATGCCCGTTTCTTACACACCACTTTCAACTTTGCATAGTTTATTTACATGTTCACATTTTCCTATGTGAGAAGTTAAAAACACCATCATTTGCATGTATATTCACATTATATTTCCATAGTGCAATCATACTAAGCCTGCCTGTGACTTTTAACTTAAAAAGAACTCATTGTGTCTTGCAGACAGTTTGACCTTTCTCTCTGTGATAATCATTTTCTAATTTAGACAAAAAGAGCATCTGTGACAAAGCCTTGTGGGAGCGTCAGTCGTCCCAATAGGGCCGCCTCAGGGGAGAGCAGCATCGTTAGTGACAAACAAGAACAGAAAGAAAACACAGAAATCTGTAACTGTGAGCAGTACTTTGATTTGGCATCTTTACGGTGTTTTTGACTACAAATATGTCAGTGTAGAGAGGATTTATGATGCTGCCGACTGCATGCTCATACTCATTTCTTCAAGTGTCAGGCTGTTAGTTTATTAGGAAGTGTAAATTAAGAATGAAGGAACGTGCTGGTGTGTGTTTGCACCAGTGCACAGCAGAAGCTCAGCTGGCTGTGGCCAAGATGCTGACTCTCTTCTGTCTTTCATTAATCCAAACAATTAATTGTTATTCAGTAACGAAATCTTAGGCTTAATAATGTTGTAGAGCTACTATGGTGAAAGTTCTAATCAATAAGTGTAATCTTGATTAACTCAATTAGTCCTTAACTTGATAAACATCCATTTATTAAACTTAAAATGTGCCTTTTATATGGGGACATTCCTAAAGACATTATGGGGGCAAAAAAACGCTATGGTGGGGGTGGGGACATGGTCATCCAGTACCGAGTTGGGACCAGGCTAGCGGGTGCTTTTGACCTTGCTAGGGCAAACTGCTGCCCCGCATCCTCTACTGTGGGACATCTCCAGGTGGCAATGACAGAGGCAATTATGGGCTCAGGTAGCAGCAGATTCATGCGCCTGAGGATACCTGCACCATACCAAAAGGCCACGCTGACAATCAACCAATACCTCAGTTGAGCACCATAAAGTGGAGTTGATGGCAGACCCTTGCAGGTGCAGACGTTAATGCTTCCACGGGGTCACCTACAGACGCTACCTGACGTCTGTTAGATGAATCCCATTGACGAAAGCTTCTCTTTTATATCAAGATAAAGACAATTCTTAGTGAGTTTGGAGATTTAGAGAGGCTTAAAAAACAGACTTCTGTAAAGGAAAGGGGTGCAAAACCAGCAAAAGAGTATAGCAGCAAAAAAAAAAAGTGATTTATTGTTTTCCAAATCATTGACAGACAATTAAATGAAAGACACAAGAGGATGCAAGGGACAGGGTGACAGGGAGGCTGTGGTGACTGCTCAAAGGAGCATCTGAAAAACAGACGACGGCCTAAACGGAAATGAAACAAAATGGCAAAAGTTGGAATAAAAGATGTAGGTCTGACCAGTAAACGCCATCATTGTGAATGCACCGTTTTCATCAAATAGTCAGCTGCATTTAGTGAATCACAACTTCATGAATTCAGACAGTAATTCTACTGTAAGTAAAAAACATACACCTCAAAGCAAACCTAAAAGGACTATAGGTACATGAAATAAAAGTGGCCTTGTTTTCCTTCTTATGGACGCAACTCTCTCATGAGCCCAGGAGCTCCCGTGCAGCTATATTTAATGCACTTACTGCGCTCTTGCACCGTAAGCTCTCATAAGAATGCATATGCAACATCCCTAGAAGAATGAGATATTTATGAACCCCTGTGATGTGTTTGCACACGCCTGCTTGCGCACTTGCGTGGCTTTATAAGCCACCACTTTATGCTTAAGCTGAGCTGCGTGTATTTAATGCAGACAACGAGTGTTGCTCACCGTGTCATGGCAGTTTTATACCTTCACTTCACAGAATGCCACAGCTGTCAGTTTAGGGCACTAGGTGTTTGTGGAGGTTTGATTTGAGCAAAACACACAAATGAAGTGCTGAAAGAGCAGCAAATGAAATGTGAACAGGCAGGAATTGTTTTTACAAAATAAAGACTGATTAAAGCTGAGCAGAGATCTATTAAAGGGGTGCAAAATGTGTTAATAGAGCTTGTTCATTTCCCCTAATTTTCCAAATCTAATAACTGCACTGGAAAAAGATGCATCACATGTATCCAGTACTTCCTCCTATGTAAAGCCAATGCAATGCAAGCAGCTGGCCCTTTGTGGCTTGGCCCTTTTGAGCCATTCCGGATCTCCCACTGGCCTGGCCCAGTGCACAGTGTGGTGGGAGCTGCCTGTGTGGGGACTGGCTCAGTGTGAAAAAGACCTGTGACACTCACTGGATGCTGTCATGCAGTAAAGGAGAGCAAACGGACACGAACAAAAGGCCTGACAAAGAATTCCTGTCTTTACACGGTGGAGTTCTTCCCTTTGAGCTAATAAATGATAAACTGAGGACTAGTGTATATATTTCCATAATAAAGATTGATTACAGCATATGAATAACATGGAAAGTCATTTTTACTTCATCTTTGCTTTTCAAGTGGCATTTCAACCGCACCTCTCAAACCCTGAACCCTCCCTTTTTGTGGATGTGATTTAACACCATAAAATGACAGCCTTAAGGATTAAAATGTGTACACATGTGGCATGCTGTTTACATTCAATCATCTAATAGCATAAGATTAAGGTCTTGTTCTGTAAACTACACTTTCAGGATAAATCCACAATATTAAAAACCAATAAAAACCAAAAAAAAAACCAAAACAGAAAAATCATCAGGGTTCTTGGTTGTTTGTTTGGTATTTTAATGAAGCGTTCCGTAAATAATAAATTCGATGTGTAGGTAAATAAAAAAAAACTGGGGGAAAAAAAACAAATAATCCAGAAAATTGCTAGAAAATCGTAGAATTTCTTCTAGCAGTGGAGGGAACCTAGGTGTTTGTGGAGTGATGACACAGGAAAATAAAATGAAATAAAATAAAAATATAAAATAGCTGCAGGTATAATGCCATGTCCATACTCTGCACATGATATTTGGCATACATATGTGGCATAGAAGTGTGTCTTTAAATTTTTCTCTTGCCAACACAAACCTGGTGTGTACGTATGGACTGAAGCCAAAGTGGTTTAGTTCTCCTAAATCAACTGTCAAACTGGTACATATACCAAATCAGATGACCTACAATAAAAAAAGCCTAAAGCTGCTCATCTACGGCAAAAATGATATTTAACAGGGGTGCTCATTAACTTTAAGAACACGTTGCATTTACTGTATATATTCTTTTAACAATGGATTTCCTGGAACCATGATTTCCTTGCAACTGTGACTCAACAGTCAATCATTCAGTGCAGACAGAACTGAGCCTGACACAGGCTGGTGGGAGTGATTTTGGACTTTTAGGAATGGGTACTGTTGTAAAAGGAATGGGGGTGTCGGTTTTATAGAACACACAAGGAAATTATCATGAAACAATTTGTGGCAGCTATTTCAATTATCTTGTTTTCATAATTGGAGGAACCCAAAATTTAATTTGAAAAAAGGTTAATTTTCCATGTATTATACAAACCAACTGACTCCAAGTACAGCAGACGAGGTTCATTTGGTTTGAGCAACAGTAATGAAAATGAAATTAAAATGTGCTTCACTACTACAGTCACACTATTAGACAAACCAAACCAATCATCTAGTCACCTGTGTTGCATGTTTACAGGGAAAAAAAACGACATTTTGTAATGAACAACTAATGGTCTTGGTGTCACAAACATTTAAAGCCACTGTGCATCAATGCCACTCACATGAGCAGGACAGAAAATTTAAAACCATTTTCCATACTGTATAATTAACCAATACACCTTTAATTTGGGGTGTACCCGCCATAATTATAGGGTGCTGCCAAAAACTCTGTGATACT